ATCTATTTTTGCAATAGTTAAACAACAATGAAGCTGATTTATTGGATGAAAAGACAAAATGTGTCACAAAATGACACTGAAAACAATAACGTGGCATTATTTTGATAAAGTTTAAGATTGTCTTTAAGTTTTTGTACCTTATCTGAATACAGCCATAGAAAAACTAATAGTCTGATTAATCACCAGCAAAGAAAAAAGAAGTTTAAAATGATGCATTGATGAATGAGAAGGATTCTAATGAGTCATAAATATTAGTGACATTTTATAACGCCGCCCAAATTTAGTTTAGCAGCACATAAAAGACGTGTTGTGTAATCCTTTGTGGTCTCAGTCCGATCGTGTCAGTCCTGCTTACTTAATCAATCATTATAATTCTATTTTTGATGTGCATGTAAATGTGGCCTCCCCTGGAGATCAAAGGATCATTTGCACATCAGGATGCGGAGCCACTTCAAAGCTCGCGCTCATTCACAAAAGCATCTCTGCGCACAGCAGATGGTGGAACTGATGCAGAGTCCTGTGCTCCTGTGGATTTCATGTCACATTATAATAAATGAAGACATATTAAAAAAAAAAACAATAACAACCATGCAGCCAAACGAGGAGCACAGAAGGACATGAGACATGGACACGTGTCATCCAACCTTTGAGCTCAGGAAGTTGGCTGAAACGCTTTCATCTGTCGCTGGTTTAATGAGCTTTACTGGGAGATGGAGCTTGGTAAACTTTGACCACCATAAATCCTTCATGCGTAAAGAACTGCCAGCTCAGATCCCAAACTAAAGTCCCCCCCCCTCCTCCCCCACCCTCTTGTTTTGTGTTTTTGGAATGAGAGAAGTAGATTGTGGAAAAATAGAAGTTTTGGTGGCTCCCCTTGGCTTCAGAGTCCCGACAGCAGCTTGGTCAGAGCCACCTCCCGCTCTCCGAGCAGCATGTCCCTCTTCAGGCTGGTGCCCTTGTTCACCACCTTGAACTTGACGGAGAGGTTCTTCACCTGAACCGGGCTGATGGCGTCGAAGAAGAAGTCCTCATTGAAGACCGGGTTGCGGCTGTTCTTGATGATGTTGCTCCTCTGCTTCTGCAGCTTGCCGGGGTTCAGGTACACCGACACGCAGCAGTTAATGCTTTTGATGTTGAAGTTCTTGTCGTAGAGGCTCTCCGCCGCCACCACCCGGATGAGCAGGCGCGACGTGCCGGAGTCATAGTTGGCGCTGATCCTCACCGTCCCGCCTTTGTGCAGGTTGATGATGTGTTCCCGCTGGAGGCCGGCATCGGAGGCCCCGGCGCCGCCGCCGCCATGCAGCAAGGGCACGTGGAGCCGCCGCTGGACGTTGGGGCTGGGCTCGGCCGAGCTGCACTCGTCAGTGGAGAGGGAGCTGTGGCGGGCGAACGAGCGCTTGGCCCTCACCACCTTGGCCTGCGTCTCGTGGGTGAAGATCTTGAGCAGGGACGCGGAGCGGGACAGCAGCGGCGAGCTGAAGGGCGAGGACTCRGCCGAGGAGCAGGTGTCGCTCTCGCCTCCGCTGAAGTAGCGGTACGGGTTCATGTGAGAGGCGTTGCAGTCGGCGGGGTTCAGGTGGTTCCCGGCTTCGCCGCTTTTCCCCGGGGTCTTCCTCTGCACGTTTGGAGACGTGATGGGGCTGGTGAGCTCGCAGTGGAACAGGGACTCCTTGCGTCGGGTGTGGGGGCTTTCCTTCAGGGTTGCGAACCCGTATGATGTCTGTGTCTTGGGAACGTAAGGCAGAGACATGGCCGTCTGCGACTGCGGATCTGCGTTGGTGTCTCCGGCCACGACGTCGTCTGCACTCTCTATCTGGATGATGTGGCGGTTYGCTGCTTTCAGCAAGTTCTTGGTGTCTCCGGCAAGCTTGGCCATCAGACAGGGGCTTCTCGGACTGCTGATCTTCCTGCTGCCGCCGAGGGTTTGCTCCGAGGTGGATGGGTGGAGGCTGTCTTTGGGCTTCAGGCTGGGAGCCTCGGGCTCGGCGGGGCAGCTGACCAGCTTCGGAGGGATGAAGAAGTCTGGGATCTTGTCGGGTGTCAGCACGTTGCTGTAGGCTGGGGCCACCCCTTTCTTATCTCCACCCTCGCCTTGTCTCAGAACGCCGGTCTCCACCGAGCCACGGATCTTATCCAGAACCCACATGGTCCCACCAGACAGTGTGGATCAGGGTTAAATCTGGAGCGTCTGCAGTGAACGACACGAAGGACAAACTAATGAGTAAATAAGAAACATTAGCATCCTGTTTGACTAAATCTGTTGTCTTTAATCAATCAAGACAAAATTTCTCTGAAATCTGTGACCCATCACGTCAAACTGAGGGTTGAGTCAGTTTTGGTCAAAATGACCTAAATTCCTGATAATCCTGACATCACGAGTGACACCTTCATTTGTCTTCCTAATCAGGATAACTCCTTGACATTTGGTCTCGATTCTAATTAAAGTTATTGATGTCATTTTAAAAAGGAAGCTTCAAACAATACTGGATGTTAAAATTTACCAGATGGAAAGAAAAAAGCTTTGCTTGCAAAGAAAATAACCAAAAAAAAAAAAGGCTTTTTTTGGCTCAAAATAGTGTTATTTTGTCCCTTTTGCTCAAAAAATGCTTAAAAAGTTATGTAAGCTTATGTTTTGGACATTTAATTTAAACAATCTGAAGATAAAATGTATTGATTCATTCCATTTTTGACCAAATGTAGTTGTTGCAAACGTTTCAACCAAAACATTTATTCACATGTTGTGACTTAATCCTCAGCTCCACGAAAAGCTCCTGAAAGTTAATTTTAACACAAAAATTGAAAACTTACAACTCAGAAATAAATATTTAGAATCCACCTTCTTCAAATGAACAGGATTAAATACATATATAGCAGCTCTGAGGTAACAGAAAACATGTTTTTAGATTAAAAAGAGAACAAAGACAAAGGGCTTTATTTTAATGAGAGACAGATTTTAGCTTGTCTGCATCCTTATAGTTTAACACGATTAATCAAATACTTCAATAAATTCCTGATTCTAACTCAAGTTTATTTAAAAATCGATGAAATTCCCGTTTGGATGCTTGAGGAAAAAAATCTGAGGCGCAAAAGTTACAAAGATGAGAATGTAGCTCAACAGGTGCGACAGAAAGCTTCCTCTCTCCTCTGCGTCCTGTGCCGTTTCCAAAATGTTTATAYCACAAAGCGCGCTGATTTTCTCTGTTCCATCTGCTGCTGTTCATACACAATGTACTTACAGAGGTCAGGTAAAACAGGCTGTCCTTGGCACGCGCTCCTTCAGTAACAGGTGTCCCTCTCCGGGCTGTGCGCTCCCGCTCCGCTCGGCGCGGCGGCTCTGCGCCATCAGACGGTCTGCGCTCCGGAGCTCCTGTCGGAGCGTTTTATCCACGGCGCGGAGCTGCAGCTGACCAATAAGAGCCACCTCTGCCTGTCTGCGTCCCCCCAGCAGGACCTGCTGGAAGGTGCGCCTGTTGCGTCCGGGGCTGTGCAAAGTGGAGCAGGGCTTGTTTTACGCAGGAGGATAAGCCCAATTGTTTTAAATGAGTTTATGAATGAAAACAAAAAACAGATTAACTTTGATTTTTTTTGCATTTATATTAAGCGCACTATAGGATTATCTCACAAAAACATATTTGTGCCAAATGGTGCAGCTTTCATGCGCCATAATAGAAGATCATAATAAAACATGTATTCTTAAGTCCATTTAGTCTTTTTCTRTCCCACCTGTTTTGTGTCTATCTTTGGGTTCAAATCAGCTGATATTGGTTTCCCTGGAAACTTTGCTATGGCAACAAATACATCTGTCTAAAATTGGACAAGGCCCCATGTCTTCACTGGACAAAAAGAAAAAAATCACTTTATTTGTCCAGATTGCCTGATTTGAAGCTCAAGTGCGGCTGAAGCAGTGAACTGAGAGTGGCACACACAGAGTCAGCAGCTCTGCCTTTTTTAAATTACTTTAGGAGGAGCTTGAAAATCTGCAGAATTCAGATGCTGTTTAATAAGTCAGAATGAATGAACAGAACCTGGGTTTGGTGAAGTTCTGCCCACTTTTGGATGGAAATTAGCTTTTTCATTCTGTTTAGTGTCACAACTAACAGGCAAAAGATCAGGCAGCAGCTTTTAATGAGCCTCAATATTTCCACCTTTAGTTCAAATTCAGCCTTTTTTTTTTTTTTTGTTTAACTGACTAATAAAACCATGTGTGGGATCTCTTATGTCATATTGTGATCACAGTCACACCCACACTAAAGCACAAATAAATGCTTTTGGCGTTACAATCAACAACATAAGCTAAAAATTGTTCTGGGTTTGGACACTTGTTATTACATGATGAAAAACGTTTCCTGATTTTTGACTTGAAGATTGAAGATGAAGACGTCTGTGCCGTCATCATCAGGCCAGGACTCTGCAGTTTGCACTCATCTACAGCTCAGGACTCTGCAGTTTACACTCATCTACAGCTCAGGACTCTGCAGTTTACACTCATCTACAGCTCAGGACTCTGCACTCTAAAAATGAA